CTATCTGCACTTTTTCAAATATTGATCATTCTTTCATCCTGATCATCAAGTTTTTCTATCATAATCATTTTCTCTATATGTTCTTCTTAAAAATCATCAATAGTAACTTGGTCATATTACTATTAGTAAGTTACTATTCAGTTATAAAACTAAAAGTTTATATTATCTTCTAATTCCATAATCAATCTTCTAATTATGTTTTTTTATAAGTAAGATTAATTCATGTTACCACACTATTAATTGTGAGTTAAGAAAATTGTGATCAAACACTTAAACAAGTTTAATTATCATACATAACAAAAATAAATATTTGAACGCTTCGCTTTCGCCCTGTAATTCGCTCAAACAAGCACGATCAAGAGTGTATCTTCTTTGCTGAGGGAAAAGTTCAGTTGAAGGGATTTTCAAGCGGTCGAAGACAAAACTTCGACAGCATTGAAGAAGTTCTGTTGTTATTGCCTCACAAGAATTGATTTTAATTTCGGAACCCTAAGGGCTAATTTTTACTCTTTCCTCCCCTGATCATCTGCGCGTTTATATATTTTCGTTTGATAATTATGGCCGTCCGCCATATTACGGCAACCCTTCGATCTCAGAAGTGGGCGGACTCCCTTATAGAACGTACATACAACAAATTATTTTTTTTTCAAGTACTCTCACATATGCCAATGCGATATCCGAAAATAAAAAAAAAGGGTTGCTTGCCGAAGGGCGGAGGGTAGCGATATTTCACATGGGGTGGGTATATGCGTGTGTGTGTATTTTTTTTGTTTCGTTTCGTCCCTCGTCGAGTGGCTTTATTATATTATATTTTCGTTGTTTAAAATAGTATTAAAAATATTTTTCGGGGGTGATTTAATTTGGCAAAACGTGGATGGAATATGTGCGAGTGAGTTGATGTATATATATATATTGAAAATGAGTGTATGAGAGAGAGAGAGAGAGAAGTGGAGAGATAGAGAGAGGGCACATCGTTTGCCAGTTGTTTAACTCAATTATTGATCAAATATGGCGGAGTTTTCCCAACCCACTGTCTATATTAACCCTTTCGCATCGAGGGACTCCGTAATGATGTATACCTACCCCCTTGCGTTAAGGTCCTTAACATACCGGCCTATTATTACGCTCGCAAACTTATGATTGTCGGGGAATACATTTTATATTATATAACGGCTCAGGGTCGCCATTGTTCGCTCGAGTTTTCGGCGTCGCGTCTTTTTTTCTCTTCTTCGGTTTGTTACTGATGTTTTGTTGTTGTATCATTACCGAGGCCATCGATGATGTGCTTCGTTATTATTTCGTTTCGTTTCGATAAAAAATTAAAAAAAAATAATAAAATAAACGGATAGCGGGGAAATAAAAAGACAGACATCGAGACGATAGAAATATGCGTCCAGCCTTATCGTCCGCTGATTTATTGCATTAACACACTTTATCTCAAATCGATTTTTCGATTTTCCTATTTTTAATTATTTTTTTCTTTTCAATTTTATTTTTGGCTTCAATAATCAACACTCTATATTATTAATCACTCATAGTTTGCGCAATTTGTTTGCGAGACGAATGACAAATAGCTGGTGCATGTTGAGCGATAATCACGAACTAAACGTCAACGTGTTTTCGAATATACAAGGAAAGAAAACAAAAGGCATCTATATCACATTAATCATTGGTGATATACGAAAAAAATGTGATTCACGCCTAGCAATTCAATCAGGTGGTATTCATTATTCCAAAGACAACACATTTAAAGACAACATTACAATCACTTTACTGAACACAATTGTTCATACATTCAGTTCCTTACAATTAACACGATTTGTAGCAAGCAAAACGCTTAGATTCATATCCGACTTTGTACACACTCATTTTCCAGTTTATATTCACAATTCACTTAATTTAATGTAAGTAAACAAATTATATAATTTTTAATTACCACAAACAATTGTAAATCTTCATTTCTATTTAATTATTTCATACTTAAATCCTTAATTTCATATTTAACTTTTTTTCAATCTTTTCAATTTTTATTTTGTTAAAGTAAACTAAATTCATTGTAGATAGACGCAAAGAGATGTACATTTTTAAACTTATTTTTCGTTCTGATATAAACGCATGTAAATTTTGATTTTTATTTAATCGTTTAAATCCTTAATTTCATATTTAACTTTATGAATTAGTACATTTTTTTAACTTATATAATTTTTAATTACTATAAACACACATGTAAATCGTTTAATACTTAAATCCTTAATTTTAAATTTAACTTTTTTCGATTATTACATTTTTTTTTAACTTAATATAATATTTTTTTTTTACTTTACATTTTGTTAGTTAAAGTAAACTAAATTTATTGTACACGCAAAGAGATGTAAATTTTTCAACTTCTTAATTTATTTATTTTTTTTCTTTCGTTCTGGTGTAGATTCTTATGAGATTGAGGTAGTAAAAAAACAGGCGAAGCGGAGTCAGAATATCCTAAACAGTCGTTAGGAACTGTTTATCAACGTGTCTAGTTACTGTGACGATTAAATTAAAAGCAATTATGCATATGAGAGAAACAGTGAGAAACTAATTATGGTTGTTATGACCACAAAGGCAAGAAGAAGGAGGAAAAAAATCCAGTTAATGATTTCGCATTAGCATTTCTTATATAATGCAATCAATATCGAAATATAACATATGTAATTGATTACAATTGAATCAATATTATATAAAATTTGTATTTTTGTTCTTTATTTTACATAAAATATTATTAACTTTAGTTTAAACTTATAAAAAATAATTAGTAAATTTGATTCAATTTGATTAACTTTGTAATTTTTCTCGAAATTGGTAAATATTCTATTTAATTAATAAAATAAAAGATTTTCTTAATTTATTGAGAAAGAATTATCATTGACAATTTGTATTCTTTTCTAATATTTATTAATAATTAATATTGAGAAACTCATTTAGTTAAATTTTATTCTTTATTAAATTTGATTAAAAAAAATGCTTGATTTGTCATAATTTTTACTTTTTTCTAAGTTCATTTGAAATTTAATGTTCTTTCACTAAATTTTAATATTTAATAAACAAAATTTGTGTTTTTTATCGAAATTGGTAAATATTCTATTTAATTAAGAAATTCAATTAAGAAAACTTAATTGATTAATAAAAAAATTGAGAAACTCGTTTATTTACCTTAACAATACATGTAAATAAGAATATATTTTCACTGTAGCATTGGATAAGGAATTTGTTGGATCATGTTAATTGGATGGCGCAGATGAATTACGGTTTTCGGTGCTAAAAGATGTTTTCCAGAAGGGAAACGGGAAAGGGCCGTTAAGTGTTTGAATAAATAAGCGACAAAGTGTGAAAGCGTTTAAAGCAACGGCGCCACCGAATTACCCAGACTTAGGCAACCACAGCAATCCTTCGTCCTTGCATACATCAATCCATTCGTCCTTCCATCTATCCATCCATCCATCCTCCTATCCAATCGACGCATCAATTTTGGACAATTCCGTCGAGCATTAACGGAACGGCCGTTTGTCTAATGGATTCTACGGCGAGATGCGTATCGATAAAAGGTGCATTAATAAAGAGCGGACTTTTAACAATATTCCAAGGCGGGGCCCTTTCTACGTGCCACGGCGAGATCCAGCGATAACGCGTTAATGATAAAATGACAATTCTGTGACATCCAGCCCCACCTCCAATCAAGGCTTCACAAATAATTAATAGCGCAATTAGAAATTGATTTCGGGGGCGGAACGTATTTACACGGCTGCGTCTCGTAGCGCAGGACGATGAATAATTTCCTAATTTATTCCACGCCTGGATGCGAAGGGTAGAGTCTTTTTTCCTTTTACCTTTACCAGGAAAAGAGAGAGGGAGGAGTAAAAAAAATATACATATAATAAAATAAGAGAGAGGATAAAATTGAGAGAGAAGCGTGTATTTCCAGGATGTGTCTATTTATATTTATAATATGATTTCGCCTTGTATGGTGTTTACGAATGGACGGTGCGCAGCCTCCGGTCATGGGATGGGTGAGGGTGGAAATTAGAATGTTAAATTATACGAAAATATTTTCGGACGGGGAAAGGGCTCGGAAACAATTTTCGGGTGGAAGGGTTTTTCTGGGTGGGTGGATGGATGGAGGAATGAAGACGGAGTGGATGGAGCCAATTCCTTAATGGTCATCGGGACAATTTGAATGCGGATTTATACACGTGTACACGTGATCTACGGCTTGACGGGGCGCCCTTTGGAACTAGCGACGCTTTAAAAACAAATAGCTGCTCTCAAGTAGATTGGATTTCGCGGTTTGAATTTTACATGCTCCATATACACACACGGCAGAAGGATCCTCCAGAAACGTGAAGAGGGGAAGTCCCGTCAGGAAAGTAAAATAAAATAGTAGTAAAAACATGTATATATATATATACATACATGTATGTAGAGAGGAGGAAACGAGATTGGCCTGCGGCGATTTTTTTCATGCTCCAGGATGGATACCAAATATTTATCCGCTTTAACCCCTCTTTTTGTCCTTAATGAACACGTCCTTGCGGCAAGGGTTGACGGACGAGTCGGATAATATTCTTCTCTTTACAGACCGCTGGTAATAAAGGTGTAGTAGCATGAGCAGCATCATGAATAGGGGGGCGGAACGGCATTCAATATTTTTATAAATAACTAAAACGAAACTAGAACCGCGGTTCTGCTTACAACACCCATCCGCACGTGATACACGAAGCCATTAAATATGTCACAGAGAGAGAGAGAGAGCGGTTTTTATTATTTTTCGGGGCTATTTTTTATCACGTGTCGATGTCTTCCATTAAGGTGGAGAGGCCGGTTTAAATTTAGAGCCGCCATAAAATGCGATTCAAGCGTAAACAAGCACAGAATTTTTGCATGTGTCAAAAATATATATATATATATTTATTTGGTTTTATTTAATTGATTTGATTTATGTTTTTAAGTTTTCTTGTTTTTGGTTTTAGTGGGCTTCGGTGGCGTCCTGGTTCTTCAGACCCGAGTCTTCGCCGCTCACGACGACGATGGCCAACAGCTTGGAGCAGGCCGCCTGCTCACGACCACCCTCCAACATCTTAATACCAACTACCTCCACCGTAACCAAACCTCCTAGTCCCGGACCTCATACGCGCGAAAGAGTCTTCCAACCACCGACCATATGCACGGTAAGTTCATCAATTTTAATGCGCTTTTAGAGAAATTTAGACAAATGGATTTTTTTCAAAAGCAATTTCTGCTGTCGCCCAGTATTATTACATCATAAACATCACGTTATTTACACAAATATATAGCAATATACGTAATCCCACAAGATATATTATAGAAATAAACCATTTAGATTACAACGTTCTTTATTTTCTTTCATAGAACTGCTGGTAATCTTGGAATGACTAATGTGTTAAACAGAAATGAAATATAGATAATTCTAATTATTAATAATACAGTGAATTTACTTGAAGAAGTAAAATTTTACGTCTTGTTTTTTTTTATTATTATTCTGTTTACTACACTTTAAAAGCAATGTGAAAATTGTTCTTCTTTGGCGGAGTAGTGTATAAGGAGCGTCTTAAAATTATAATGGTTTAGTTGGAATTTGTTTCGAAATAGATGAAGTGGATTGGTTTTGCGGCCCGTCTTAAAAAAAAAGAGAAATAAAAGTCGAAGGAGAGTGGAGAGAATAGGAGAAGGTGAAGGAGTAGAGTAGTAGGAGGAAGTGGGTAAAAAGTGAAGTTGTATATGTAATAGGCAATTTATTTTGTAGTGGATCAAAAGCGTGTGACGGGTCGCGTGTTTCACAGGTGACATATAAGGCACAAGGTACTTGGCATTTTCCAGAAAGGAAATTGCCGGTTGTCGCCGTGAACACCGTGAAGCACCACACGCACGTCACTCCCGGCTCGGAGCCGCCGCCAAAAACTCTTGAAGTAATGGAATTCTTGATGTTCAATATGTTTCCACGGCGTCGCTCGATTTATAAATAAACAGGGCCCGGTTTTTCCGGGAATGGAACCGAAGCGGCGGTCATCCGTTGCGTCGGGGGAGGCGGCTAATTAAAACGCGACCAATCGAAGTAATGTCTTCATCCTTCGTCCTGGCACACCAGTGCCATCCAGTTTCTCTGTTCGCGCTGCTGTTATTATCATCATTACGATTAGGCGAGGGGGCTTGACTTCTGTGCTCAGGTAGAAGACGCGATCATTTCTTTTCTTCTCCCTTTCTCTCTCTCTCCTCTTCCTTTTCATTCTTCCTTTCGGGGCAAGGGCAATATTATTAATTTCAGTAATTTGACAGTGTGAACGACAGGCGGCCCGAAGGCCCTTGAAAAGGCGTCAAACGCGGCAATGACAACGTTTGAAAAAAGAATTCGGCGAGTCATCTTCTTGATTAGGACAGATCTCCGTCGCCTCTGGACCTTCCCATGAGCCAGCAGAAAACCACTATATAGCCGTCGCCTTTCGCCTCGCCTCCTTATTATTAAAGATATAACTCCTTTTTTGTGTCCTCGCATTGTTTATTTTACTTTGTGACATCTAATTTACACTGTATTATGTAACGGGGAGGCGGCGGCGGCGGCGGCAGCGGCAGCGGAGAGGAAGGAATCCGCATCGGAGTTGTTCTCTCTCTCCAGAGATGACGGAGTGACTTTGGTGCGTTCTTTACTATAAATCATGACAATTGACGTGATTACAATAATTACACTGTCATTTGAAAGCTGCTGCCATCTGTTTATTATAACCGCATTACCGCGTTCCTTCCTTTTTATTCTTACCGCAGTTTGTTCTTCTCATCCTCACCTCTCCAATACACTCATATCCATATGAAATTCGTTTCATCCGCCGAGGAACTGTTTGTAATCTCATCCAACAACTTCAGGCATGCCGTAATCAGTGTAAATAATAAATAAATAAAGGAATTTGGTGTCGATCGACGATGAATAGTTGCTTCTCGAGGGGGTTGATTCGTCATACATGATACGATGTGGTACAATTTATTAGCAAGCAGTCAAAGGACACTTCTTTCTATGCTCCTCCTAAGGGTGTGCAACTCGCGCCGCAACAATGGAACTTAATTAAGAATAATAAAGATCGATTTTTCAAAGAACCCATTGTGATCCAAATTGGTCTAATTTAATTTCTCCCTTGTAAAAACCTTGTTGAGAAAAAAAAATTAAAAAAATCTGCACCATCACCATCGGAATTTTTATATTAAACAAAATACAGTCGATTCCACGCTTATTTGCGACACTTATGCAAGTAATGAGCAAATTCATAACTCAAGCGATATATCAATGGTTTGCAGAAACGCTTTCATATTGAAAAATTTTATTACTTTATTATATCTAACAAAAAACATTAGTGATGAGACACCAATGAATTTGTAGGTTGATGCTCGGGTTAGAACCAATAGAATTGTTAAGAAAAAAAAATCCGATCCCTCGTCTAGTGTTTAGCGATATGATTTGCAACTGAAACAGCAGATCTTTATCGCAAAGCAGAGTAAAGATTGTAAATGTTTGGAACATATTAATTTTATTAAAAAAAAACTAAAATTATTAATTTATATATTTTATAAACATTTGTTATTTTAATTGTTAGCAATTATCAAACATCTAATTAAAATAATAATAAATGATGTGATAAATCCACTTTAAATTGTACTAATAATTATTAACTGTTTTGTTTAGTTTGATCCAATTATGTGATTATAACAATAATAATTAATTGTGTAAATAACAAATACAGTAATAAAAAGTGGTTTTATAAATGCGTAAATTTCAGTTTGAGGTCGAATCACAAATATTATTCGATTATTTAAGTAACTATGAGCAAAGGAAATAACTGTCAGATCAGTGAAAGTTGTATAAGCATTGAAAAAAAATGGAGAGCAGACGTGTCTGTGCGTTGTATTAAATTTAAATGTAATTATTCAGACGGCGAGGGTAGGTAACCAAAATATGACATTACCGAATATCTCAAATAACAACGGTGAAAATCTCCCAATTAGGAGAGTAACCCAGGCAACGACGAGCGGCAGGGCGGGCGGACGAGTTACCAGAAGGGAGTGCGTTGTTTGCCGAAATATCAGCACCATGCCAGATTTTGATCAATATATTAATTCGAATTACGTAATGTGGCATTGTGTCGGATCGATTGCGTAGGGGTTGTTTTGGTGTAGAGCAAAGGGTTTTGATGATGATTATGTCTACTTTTTTTTTTCGTTATAAATCTTAGCTTGGTTGGAAAGGAGTTTAGAGATCAAGGGGGAGTTGCTTGCACACGCGCTAAACGCTGCGTAAACAACGGTGCCCTTATTTACGTTTCGGCCATGTAAACACTTCCGGTGTCTTCGTAGTTTTTGAGATTTCAGGTGACCCCGGCACACGTCTATTTTCACAACACTTTCGAACTGTTTACAAACAGTGGAGGCGATTAAGCTAAATTAAATAAACAGATCGGGAGATGCTGAGGCTGTTTGCCTGTCGGGCGACTGTATGCGTGCCTTTGTATACATACACAAATATATATATATCTGTGCGCGGGGTTCCGCACGTAGATGATGTGTGTGTGTGTACGTATAGAGACAGGAATAGGGGGAATTTAGGTATAGGTGTAGGAGGCATAACATAAAAAAAAGAACCAGGAGTTAAGCGGAGGACGTGCAGCGAAAATATAAAAGCTCGCGATTGCTGCTGAACGAAAATAAAATGATGGACGCACGCGAATGACACGGTCCGTAATTACAATTGCTATCGTTGTACACACCTGAAGCGAAGCCATTGTTTCACACAGTTAAGTGGCCCCCCTGGTATCTCGCTGAAATTTTCATTTGATACATGCCTGATAGCGATTTTAAACACACACACCACCACCTATTATTATCATCCTCCTCATCGGCACCCCGTTACATGGAAAAACATGAATACTTCAGCCGATTCCCAGCAACTTTTGTTCAAACGCTGTTCGCTGTTGTTGCTGCTGCCGCTGCTGATCAATTATGGAACGTACGTACGTACGGCCGGGCGTCATTAAAATTTACCCACTTTTCTGACGCTCATCAATTCTATACTATTTTTACAACACAATTTTATTTATATTATCACCAATGTTGGCTCTTCTACATCAATCTACACAATTCAACAATTTTACAAAGTAACCACAAAAATTTCCATGACAACATTAAAACAATTTAAAAAAAAAACATTGTTTATTAAAATTCTTTTTGGAATCCCAACATTAGTATTATTTTTTGTCTTAAATTATTTTTTTTTAATAATTTTAATGTAAAACTGCTTTATTTAAAATATTTGACTGAGTGTATTTCAATTTGGTGATACGCCACTGATTTGAACATATTTATTTATTAATTTAATTTTAAAAGCGTGTTATTAACTGACAAAAATTCATCGATTCAGGATCAAAATAATAAAAGTTCGATAAAAAAAAAACGCTGAATAAAATTATCCAACATTGGAAAGTAATTAAAACGTCTTTATATGCAGAAAATGACCTGTTGCAATTTATATTTTATCCAATTTTCATTTCCTCTAGATTGCCCCGGGCGGGCATTCAAACCAAATTGTTCAAAACTGATCAATTATGAAATATTGTTTGTAGAACGAAATATGTTCAATTATAAAGATTTTAAATTTATACAGTTAAAATTCTTTTTGGAATCCCAACATTAGTATTATTTTTTGTCTTAAATTAATTTTTTTTAAATAATTTTAATGTAAAACTGCTTTATTTAAAATATTTGACTGAGTGTATTTCAATTTGGTAATACGCCACTGATTTGAACATATTTATTTATTAATTTCATTTTAAAAGCGTGTTATTAACTGACAAAAATACATCGATTCAGGATCAAAATAATAAAAGTTCGATAAAAAAAAAACGCTGAATAAAATCATCCAACATTGGAAAGTAATTAAAACGTCTTTATATGCAGAAAATGACCTGTTGCAATTTATATTTTATCCAATTTTCATTTCCTCTAGATTGCCCCGGGCGGGCATTCAAACCAAATTGTTCAAAACTGATCAATTATGAAACCGTTACAGGGGGGCAGAATGACGGCATTCTTTATTTAAACTGTGACTTGTCAATTAATTGCATCCCTCCGTGGATACGGTTCGAGCTTTACATGGGGGATGGGGTGGCGGATGTTGGCGGAGCGACGACAACACATGAATTATTAGGGCTGTTTTTGTTATTTTCACGCCATTACGCGCGCCGCGCGTCTGGCTGCGGTATATTGCCACTATAAAGTCGCGTTTCCCGTTCCTTTGATACGGAACGAAATGTCTTGGGGATTTTGCGGCGCAATTTGAGAAGGGAAGATTGGCGCAAATTACCGCCGCCAGTTTATTAAATATAAACAGCGGTTCAATATTTCAGAGGGCGACAGATAAAATGATATACAAGAAGAACGAACCAAAAAAAAAACAAATCAAATTGAAACGAGCAGCAAGGATGGAAACTGCGAGTAGAGAGATGAAAAGAGAGAGAGAGATGGTGATGGAGAGGGAGATGAGCAGAAGCAGCAGCAACATCGGTAGGAACTCGAACGAAAGGAAACGCCACAGGATTTTTCTTCATTAGGCACAATGCGCGGCGAAATTTGTATGGTCGTAAAAGTGTTCATTAGTAAGGCAAAGTGATAAAATAGCGCCTGAAATCACGCAATATGTATATGCTTGTATCTGTGTATCGGTATATATATATATATAGTTGGTGTAAGTATATACGCGTATACGATGCACGATGAACGAACGTCCTAGGGCCGGTCTATGAATCACGGGGTTGACATCGCGATCCTTGTAAAAGCGCAGGACATTAGTGGTGTTTCGACACGGCACGGACCGGAAGCAAAAATTCTCCTTTTTTTTTCCTTTGATGTTCTTGGGTATTGGGACCTGGTTAATCAGAACGAATGGGGGGACGCGCCTAAAAACTGGATTAGAAGTAGTGGAGGCCGTCACGACATCGACGGACTCTTAACTGATTACATACACTTATCGAGGTTCCAAAAAGGAAAACTGAAGGAAAACGCGAAGAAATGGCGGAGTGAATCGATAGGGCTAAAAATGGATGAAATGGATCGCGGTCTACGGAGATGTTTATGGCGGCGCGTCAGCCGGTGCCGTTGATCAAAGGCTGCACCGCGGGGAACCTCCCGGGGTTTTATACCCCAAGTGACATCGCGGCGCTCGTATATCGGCTTAATCGCCTCATATACTTAGCATCGACATGTTGCGTTAGCTAATGTTCCCTCGCATCGGAGGGCATCTTCGCGAGAGGCTCGTTCACGGCTCGCTGCTCCCAGGGATTATTGCTCGGTGAAGAATGTTCACCCGTAATACTATTTATTAACGAGGAGGACGAGCGAGATGGAGAAGGAAGGAAGGAGTCGCAGTTGGAGAAAGATACCGGGGCCATCAATTAATGAGCAAAGCCACCCCGAGTGGAGCAGAACAAAACGGACCAACAAATTACAACAACAACAACAACAACAAAAAGTAATACAAGGATAACGGTAACGGCGAAGCCAGGTACAAAATACACGTATCGATCTATGAAGTGCTCGTTGTGATTCCACTCGCATGTTATTAGAGTGGAGCGTTAGGTGGGCCGCAGCCTAATCTGCGGGATCGTTACGGCTTGATGTGTATTAATGGATTAATGCAGTATTGAACTGTCAACACTCGCCCTCACCTCGCTCATCATCCAATAGCGACAGCATATCGATTGCACGCCATTTTGACAGAACACATCACCGAAAAAAAAAAGAGGAAGAACCACCAACATGAGATACCTATTTTTTTTTGGGAAGGTGCGCGTAACTCCTGATCACGATCAGGTGGTAATGGATGATTGGTCCTCCCCCTTTTCATCATTCACGTCTTCGCGGCGAGGGATGATGATGATAAGCGTCGGCCATCTGAGTGGTACGCTTCGGCACATATACACTTCGAGGGGTCCACAATGGGAGAGAGGAGTACCTAGGCATTGTACGCGGTCGCGCCATAATCAATCTTCGCGATAGATCAATCAAAATCCAGCCTAGCTGTCTGATTTGCATGCCGACAAGCAAAGATGTTTATAAATGGGCCGAAGACAGGCCAGGCCCGGCAGCTCCCTCCCGGGAAAACACTTCGCTTTCCGCATCCACTCAGCCGGATGGGAAATAAAAAGAAAATATCACTCGCGAATCACCCCAAACCGGAATCAACACCCCCAAAAAAAACCTCCCAGCCAATCGTTCTTAAATCAACCACTTTTCTCTCAAATTTAAAAATGTTAAAACTTTTTGTTTCTTAGGAAAAGTATTACATTTATAAAATTACATTATTATTATTGAGATACAGATTTTAAAAGTTAGGAATGAGATGAAAAAAACAATAAAAGGTAAACGCTGCTGTAAGTTTTCTGTTATTCCAACTAGTAGATTTAATGGACTAGGTTTGAAACGTATCCAGATTGCTTTAAATATAGCGAGAGCATAATTTATGTGCAATTTAATTTCCCCTAACGTGCATGTAATATTATAATTATTGATAATAACATAGCGTAATTTGTACATGTGGAAATATCTATATATATAGATATATAATTTATATTAGTATTTCAGCTGAATGCGAATCTGTGTGTGTATATACGTATGAATGCGTAGTTATATATCTATATGTATTATAATTTATATAATCAAATGAGAAATCCTTGTTTCGATAATAGTTTTATTGTTGTTATGACGATTTGTTATTGGGCTGAATATCTCTAAATAAAGCGCGTCAACTGTAATGAAATATAAACAATGTTATTTAAAATGAAATATTATGCATATGGGAATACGTTAACAAGCTTGCACGTTCGAGAGAATATACCTACATCTCCTTTGTTCTAAACCGCAATTCGAATAACAGGCCATAAATACAGAAGATAGTAGTAAACCATAATCCAATGACACTTTAAAATGGAATGGGTGTCCTAAAGTATATTCGACATACGAAGAGCAGGTCCGTACTGGGTCCGTCCATCTAGTAAAACCCGACCCGTCTGGATCCGGAGGCGGGTGTCGGGCGGATCGCGCAAACCATGTAGATGGATCGTCGACGTTTGGTAGACCATTATTGATGTCTGAGTGTCTGGTAGATCCGAGCTCGAGCTGATGACCAATTGCCGAGGTCGCGAAATCGCGTCGCATCCGACCCTGCTCCGGTGTAAGGAACAGGTTATGAGAGTGCCACTGCATCTTTGATTTGTGGTTGGTAATGTTACGCCCTCTCAGAGAGCTGCTCATGAAATTTCATGCCTGATCAACTTGGCTTTGTAAAAAGTAAAATCATTTAAAAGGATTACTCGAAATCCATTCCCCGGGCATCTTTCAAAACACATACCAACGCGAACAATTAAGGATTGCTTTGCGTTCTTATTTCATTTCATTTCTTTTGTCCATTGTATTTTCTTTTTTCTTGTTCTTTTTTTTAACTTCTTTTCATTTGAAGATGCGTTTTATGGGTCTCTATCGATATGCGGATTGCGCGCAATTTATCAATGGGAATTACCATCAAATGTTGGACCTCGTGTACACACTTGGGGGCGGGTATTAAATCTGAACTAATGCGGCTCGTTGTGTAGGTTCAGGTAAACAAACACATATACACAGACACGTATAGAGAGAGTTGGAGAACGTTATGGGGGCATTTATATACACATTCATCTGGTCCAGATTGGGAAGAGGAGAGCATACATTCTACATACATCGGAACCACACGCAGCCGATTATCGGCCTAAGCGAGTTACTACACAAATGTCCAATCACCGGGACACCCTTCCGAATCTGAATAAATACGGGAGCGCTGGGAATTTATCGGACACCATTCGGAATGCAGAGGATAATCTCCAATAATAACTGGCTGCCGCTTACCACAGGCAATTTCATATTCAATCATTCTCGCAGCAGTGATTCCAACATTTCCAAATTCTTTAACAAAACATACCTAATTCTATTGTCAAATCTTCTATACATTCCTTATACTAAATATATTACTCTTAAGACAAGATATTTAAAAAAAAATGATAATTTTGTGTTAATTAATAACATATTTGATTTTAAAAATTTCTTGATAAGATTAATTAAGAATGAAAGTTATTTTAAGTTGTAGGATGTGGAAGAAGTTATTGATATTTGATCCTTTTAGAAGGATTGTAAATTTCGGAATTCACTGACTATATCAAGAACGCCTCGAAAGCATTCCGAAATTTGTTGCTGAGTATCTTGAAGGGGGGCTAAGGAAGCTGGAATTGTTTTGGCAATAAAGTGAAATACGCGCGGAGTAAAGTCTCTCCCATTTTTAGCGTGCTTTAATTAAGACCTGGGCGCTCATAAACTGTGTCTCGCTTTAATTCTCCGACATTGTTTAAACTCTTTCTTCGAGCTTGATTTTAATATTGCCGGGGTATTATATTGGCTCGCGAAGCGAAGGGAAGGAATGAAGAACCCTTCTGTGGAAAGGGCGAAGAGGGTTTCTCGCTTGCCCTCGACTGCGGACCCGAGATCCGAGACCAGGGTCCTGGCGTCTGGGGCTCAATATTTACTGGGCGATAAAAATTCACGCTTCTTAAAATCCATGTTGAAAATATTCAAATTGGTCTTTTTAAGGCTCTCGGGGGAGCCGTTGAGGTTGACGCCAATTTCTCCGACATGAAACGGCGTGGCGCGCGTCCCATTGGGGACTTTTTGCTCCTTCCCGAAGAAATGGGAATTAATTCCGTCAAGGGTTAATTGTCTGACGACGCATACCATCCCCTAATATCAATTCTTTTTTGCTTTCATTTCGCAGGCGATCCGATGCACGGTTCCGGGCTGTAACTGCGAGTGCTTCATGCCAGGGAAACGACACCTCAGATACTGCGAGACCTGCAAGCACGGCTGGGTGCCTCACGGTAAGTCCATACTTTTGTCCTT